GATCTAGAACATAGGCTTTATCAATTATATTCCATGATTGTTCTTGTTGTATGAATTGATTACTTTTATGAATTGTTACATGTTTTAAATAATGTATTTTTCATATCTATATAATGATCGAACCTAGAAACATACCTTAGAATCCTTAAACAATAAATATTTGGGTTCGCAGTAGAATTCTAGGTTGATTCGCGTAATAGTGCTCGGTCCGCTGTTACAGTGCTCGAGCCTTGGGGGCAAAGCTCGAGTCTTTGATGAAAAGTTCAAGCCTAAAAGGAAAAGCTCGAGCAATTGGATGAAAAGCTCAAGCCTAAAAGGAAAAGCTCGAGCAATTGGGTGAAAAGCTCGAGCTTAAAGTAGGATGCTCGAGCCTGAAACACGATACTCGAGCAGTTAGGACAAAAGCTCGAGCCTTAATTGGAGAAGTTTCGTAAACAGCGTTGTTTTACTATTTAGTGATTTTGAGGAGTCATAAACATCAAATAAGGACTAGGAATGAATTTAAATAAATTTTAAACAAACTTAAATATATCAATGCATGCTATTTGAATCTTCGAGGAATGAATAGATTTAATCTTTAGTTTGTTCTAACAATTAAGATTAAATGTATAGCATAAATTGTGTACCAAGAAGGCTTACTTGATTGTATAATAAAATATCAGTCTGTATAAGATTTGGTATGTGTAGGATATGCGATGTAGGAAGCTTAAATAATTTTATAAGTCATTCATATTTTGTGATAACATGATATCATATTATTATGTTTATTTTAGATTATTTGATGTACTTCTTTAATTGTTGCATCAACTGTTGGATTGTGTGGATGTAGTGCACTAGTATGGGATGGTGGCACTCTAGGGATGGATTAACTTATCAGTTAAGTCCTACCTATTTTATAAGGGAATGGATTAACTAAAATGTTAAGTCCTACTTATATTCGTATCAGGTCAATTAAACAAGTTGGATGATACATAGTGGATTACTTTAGATTGGATATATATATATAGACATATGCCATGATATGAGCTTGAGTCTCAGGATCAGTGGATAGGGTGCGTATATTGCTAGGGATGTGTAGCTAGATATAGTGTGGTTGTGTGCCCTGGTAGGTCTAGGTATTCATGCCCACTATATGTGCGTTTTTGCATGTTGCCTACTATTTAGGTTGAGGTAACCCTATAGTCTAGTGAGGTTCCTTTAGTGTGTATATGTATGTATGGACAATATAGTTATTGCATAGGTTAGCTATTGATATATAGTTTCTCTGGTCTCTGTTTGGGTTGTCATAGAAAGAACTTGTTCGTGGGCCTGACCCACTATTATTTTTCCAGGTGTTCGTCAGTTCCAGACATAGAGTTTGTTCATGCTGAGCAAATCGAGACATTCCACATCATTCTTCTAGTTCTACGTAGGATTCTTTTTATGTTTTAGTTTCGGATTATGTTTTTTTTTTTTAGGTTGGTTCAGTTGGAATATCATTAGGGGTCAACTAAATGGATTCCCGAGTTGTAATGATAATTTAAGGTTTTAGATAGTTCATTTAGAGGATTAATTATTTATTTAAGTTAAGGATTTATTATTTAGTTTCTTTTTGCCATTTATTTATTCGTCATTATTTCTTTTGTAATCAAATGCTTGTTTATATACTTAATTGTTTGGTATCCCTCGGATCTGTGCTCGGACTTGATCACCCGTGGCTCTAGAATCGAGGGGTATCACAAATGTGAACTTGAAGAAACTCCGAAATAGTGCGGGTCACAAACTCGTTGAGTATATCAAGAAGAACAGCTGGCTTTTTTTCACTACGATGGAGCATAGCTATTCTCCTGACATGATACACTATTTCTATTCTAATATTTTTCGAATTCATGACGATGGGTATTTTGAGGTTTCTATTTTTTGGACTGGCTATCTCCTGAATGAAGATGTTATATGTGGCATCTTGGGCTTTCCGAAGAGTGATAGTAGTACAGGCTATGTCTTACCTCTCACAGAGTCAGGGCCTAAATGGCAAGAGATTTATGATGCTTTGTGTATTCCTGGTTCTTCTATATTTGCCGACCACATCCCTTCTCTTTATCTCACTGATGAGGCAACATTTCTGAACTTATTTGCTTTGACCAATCTTGGCTATTTTGGGAAGAAAGACGTGATTGCATTGGATCGGGCTCAGGTATTGTATCTTCTTGCTATTGGAGCAAAGATCCACATTGCCATTTCCATCGTAAACTTGATGGTCGCTCATTACAAGAACAATACCAAGAGGAAGCCATCTCCATTCCCTATGATCATCATGGGACTTTATAGGAAGTTTTAGATTTTACTTCCTCCTAGAGGTCATCATTACGAGATCATATCTGAGTTAGATCTCCGGGCCTTGCACAAGTCGAAGTCTGCCAGAAAGAATGTAGGAAAGGTAATAAAGGGTTCAAATAGTGCTACATCTCAGCTTCCACAGATTACTCAGATCTTTCCTCTAAAGGGAATTTCACAAAGGATGATGGAAATCTATTATATTCTTTGATTCTTCAAAATTAGAAGGCTATGCTTAACGCTATATGTGATCTACAAGCCAAAGCGAGATTTCTTCGTGGATTGCATACAGGTGGTTCTTCTGAGGACGTCTACAGACCTGCACTTCCAGATACATATGAGGTTCCTGAGTATAATGATGATGAGACAGATGATGGTGATGATGGTGATGGTGATGGTGGTGATGATGGTAGTGGTAGTGATGGTGGTGATGATGATAAGGATGAGTACTGCTATTCCTTTTGAGGGAGATGTTGATGGTTAACTTTCTGATTATACATGCATTATATTTTTGTTCAGTTTACATTATCACGACATATTATTTTTGGATATTATTCTTTTGGTTTAATGACATGTTTGCCGGAATTAATTGTTTCTCTTATATATTTTATGCTCTGATCATTCTTAATTGCTTTGTCAATTTGTTCCAAAAAGGGGGAGAACAATGATAATTAAGGGGGAGAAAATTTGAAAGTTTCAAAAATAGATAATTTATTTAGGGGGAGTTTTTTTATAAATTATTTTATTAAACTTTCACTGGTAGTTTTGTTTGATCCATGTGCAGGAAATTAGGTAAAATTTTGTCCAATAAAAGAAGAAAACAGAGAAGAAAAATTCTGTGTCCTTGACAAAATTGTAATCTATTATTTTTTTACTTGGGTAGATTATATTTGTTTTTAGGGTTTTGTCACGAAATTGCCAAAGGAGGAGATTGTGAGATATAATTTTTGTCATTGGAAAATTTTGATGTCAAAACAAGTTTGATTGAGTTGTAATTTCAAGTTACCATATCAAGATTGAGATCGACTGCGGAATTGGAAGGTTGTTCACACTGAGATTTATGAACAAAGAAAGAACAACACTTTAGGAAGTTGTTTCCAACTTAGGAGACTCTACCTATATGGTATATTCTTCAAGTTACCAAAAATAGAGTTTTTCTAAGTTGGTTTCAAACTTTTTTTCAGAATTTTGTTAAGTGGGAATCGGTACCAAGTTTGGGAATTAGTTCAAGAACCTTCGCTATGAAGATTTCATTCTGTCCTTTGGGAATCGGTTCCAAAGATGGCTACCGGTACCACATGGTGATACAGTTTAGGATTCCAATTTCATGTTCTGTCCAAAACTTCCTAATTGGTTTAGAATACTACCAAAAGTCCTATACACAAAAATTCCCTTTTCTTCTGCATGATTAAAATTTTGAATTATCTATATAAACCTTTATATTCATCAAGGTTTGTGCGGCTTTTGTATTAAAACTTCAAATTTATTAAAAGCCTTAAAGAGAGATTAATTTTTTGCAGAAAATCAAAGTTGATTTTTCTGTCATTCTTTCTAGAACACGCACATATACACAAGAGTGAGTTTAGAGTGTTGTTCAAATCCTGATCGTGATTAAATTCTTGTATCTACAACGATCAGAGAAAAACAGATCTACTTTTTCTACAAATTCAGATATTGAAGAACAGATATGAAACGATCACACTTTGAAAGGATCAAAGCATTCAAGGAGTATTCTTTGATCTACCAGCAATCCTTTTACGAAGATCAAGAGTAAGTCTGAGGTTAAATGCTATTGGATGGGACGTCGCAAAGTCAGAGGATTGTCAGCGATTGGTGTTTGGTAGAACAATCGGGTATGAGTCAAAGTAAAAGTCTATTGTACTTTATTTCAAACATAGTGGATCGGTTTACTTTAGACTGCACAGTCACGATGTTTTTCCCGTGTAAACAGTTAGTCTATTTTACCAATTGGGGTTTCCTCGCTAAAAATCATGGTGTCATCTCTAACTTTATTATTTTGTTTTATTTTATCTTGTATGTGATTAATTGCTAAAATAAGTAAAATAAAAAAGATACAAATTTATTTGTAAAAATACAAAACTTTCTAAATCTTCCGCGGCATAAACTCACATGCACTTGACTTCCTAGGTTGAGACAGATATCACTCTACTACAATCTTTAATCTGTCAACTTTATTGGTTACCCGCTTGATCTTTGTCATGTTTGTTTGGAAGACTGAAAACAGTAGGAAAAGTGGATGATGAGATGCAAGACTTTAAATTAGTGTAAATACTTTTATTAAGCTTTAATCTGTCAACTTTATTGGTTACCCGCTTGATCTTTGTAATGTTTGTTTGGAAGACTGAAAACAGTAGGACTGAAAACAGTAGGAAAAGTGGATGATGAGATGCAAGACTTTAAATTAGTGTAAATACTTTTATTAAGCCTTTGTCTTGTTTAATTATTGGATACATGACATAAAGACTTACTTATTATAAGAAATAATAAAAATATTGGCCCTGCATTGCTTCCAAAAGTAGAGGGGTTGCTTTTGCTTATCAATTGATTAAAGCCGCCTTAGCCACTAATGAACAATAAAACAAAAATTAATTAATTTTCAATTGCATTTCAAATTAGTATTTTTGTCCACCCACCGAGAGAGAGAGAGAGTTTGTGTTTTGACACATTTGGAAAATAAACTACTGTATTTACAATTTCCATGAACTGTTACAAATATATTCAAGCTGAGTGTTGTGGGATAGCATAAACCTAACAACACTTTCAAGGCACCATTTTGCCACTAGAGATCAAATGCTTAGTAACTTCTTTCTTTTCTTTATTCTTTATTTATTCTTTATTTTATTTTATATACATATAGCTAAGTAAAACATTTAGTAACTTACAATTCTGCTTGATAGAGAAACTAAATATTAGTTTCATGTGTTCAAAGAGCAATGCCGAACGGCACGACAAGCCAAGGGTTTCTTCATTTCGAGAGAGAGCCTCAGAGACTCCGAAAGATCCACTGGTTGGGACGGAAGCCATTTGAACTGTTGTAGAAGCCGTGCGAGCCATAACTGGACCGTGGCCAACCCTAGCGCCTTTCCCGGGCAAACCCTACGACCCGACCCAAATGGCGCAAGCCTTAAATCCGAGCCCATGATCGACATGTCCTCCTCCAGGAACCGTTCCGGTCTGAAGATCCACGGGTCTTTCCAAATGGACGGGTCATGGGTTATGGCCCACATGTTCACCATTGCAGTTGTGCCAGCTGGGACGAAGAATTTGTCCACGTGGACATCATGGACCGCTAGGCGGGCCCACGAGAGTAATGGTCCCGGAGGGTGCAATCTGAGAACCTCTTTGACTATGGCTTGAAGGTAAGGGAGGTTTGGAATGTCTGAATCTTGCACGTGCCTGCAGTTACCAACGCACTTGTCGATCTCTTGCTGGGCTCTTGCTTGAATGTCTTGGTGTAAGACCATTCTAGCCATGATCCATTCGAGAAGAATAGCAACTGTGTCTGTCCCTCTAAATATCATCTCCTATATACATAATCAAAATGAAATAAGTAGCACATCTCTCTCTCTCTCTCTCACACACACACACACAGTTAATCTGTAAAGTTTATGAATTGTGATACAAGATATTTGTGCTTTGTACATTCAATGGTTAAAGACCCATGCAGAATAAAATATAAGGTTTATATACAAGTTAGTGATCTAACTTTCTTTATGAATGGATTAGGCTCAGTCAATGAACATGTGTGTATGTTACATATTATATATATAATAGTGCACCTATGGAAAAAAGTTATAATATACATAATAGAGCAACTGTATAAAAAAATAAAAAAAAAAGTGTATAAAGAGGACACGTGATAAGCCTATGACACGTGATAACGTTGTTCAGAAGATTTAGTGAAATGGGTTTACTAAAACATAGCCCTGTGAGAATATTTTTCTATATTTGTATAGTATCATGAATTGGAATATATTAGACAACTGGGCTGCAAACTTTGTCAAATGTCTACCTGAAGGGTTCCAACCTTGATATTTTGAAGTAAAAAGAAAAAAAATTTTAAAAAATTTAAAACCTTAAACTTTTGACTAATACAGTCAAATTCCATTCCATAGCCTCAGTTCTGTTGATTAAAGTGAGGTAAAAATCTTTAATAATTAGGATGGAATCATTTGACATGACAACAGTCAATACAACTTGCTTTTTTGTAATGATATTTTATAGTAACAAGTTCCAAACACTTACATTTTTACCATGCTTGTAATAGTAAAAAGCAAATAGCCAACCTCTATCCAAACCTTCTCCAAAATTTTATACAACCGCTCTTTAACTTTTTATAAATGAGATCTTACAAAGAAATATTAGTCTTTTGTGGAAAAAGGTTAATGCTTTTTTTTTTTTCTTATAAAATAATTCAGTGACCTTAATGGAGAAGAAAGAAATATATAAAGGAAAAAAAAGTATCAAAGGACAATATCCTGCATGTGTACGTATGGTTATGCATGTCACGCTAGTAGCCAAGCAACTGAATCTAAAGCTTTCCTCTCAAATCTTCTTATAAATATCTTAAAGCGAAAGTAACCTTTAATTAAAATTTTACAGTCAATTAAACCAGAAGGGATAAAAAGCTGATCATTTTATAAATATTGGGTATCACGTGAAACGGGGATATCAAGAATTAAGTTCGAATTTCGATTTGATAGAACAATTACCACTTTATTCCAAATAATATCAACGGTAAACCAATGCTAGTCAAATAATCTTTATTTACTTATTTGTAGTTTGATGCATGATTAACTCACAAGATATTACCCATATATATCCTATATTTAATAGAACAATACTTGCTTCTTAAAGAAACCTCATTCACATCATTGATGAGATGCAATGATTGAATAACACGTGTCCATTTTAAAATTTAAATATAAAAGAGAAAAAGTAAAGACACAAGTTATTATATCAATGTTTGAACACTAATGGTGCCAAAGAGGTGAGGAGACAAGTATTCTTCTATCTTGTAGAAAACACAATTTATGTGTGTGTGTGTGTGAGAGAGAGAGAGAGAGAGTCCTTACCCACAAAATAGCTACCATGTCCACATGACTGAGCTGATCCTCTTTAGGTAAAGATAGCAAAACACTAAGAAAATCATTCCTTTCACTAAACTCTCCATCTTCTTTTCTTTTTTTTATTATGTGACCTACAAGACCATTGACCTTAGTTGCTAACTTAAGACACCTTCTTTTTACCCCATGAAAGTCCAAAAACCCTAAAGAAAAGTAATCCGCCAAGTTGAATTTTGCAATCAACTCATACCCTTCTTTAACCATTAACCCTAATTCCTCCCCTTCTTGCCCTAAACTACTCCCAAACACACTCTCTACAATATTCCTCAATGAACCATTTTGCAATATGCCTCTCACCTCCACAACCCCTCTCTCCTCCATCTCCCTCCACACTCCAACCACCATCTCATCCGCGACATGCTGCCGAAGCCCCTCTAGACTAGAAATTCTCCTTGGAGAGAACATGTAGTTGGCGGCAATCCTCCGGAGATGGCGCCAGTAGTCCCCGGAGGGCGCGAACCCTATGGCTCGCTCGAACATCAGTAAACGAGCCGATTCTTTCACGGGACGGTCCGAAAATGAGGACCCTGACAGGATTTCCTTAGCAGTGTCTGGGTGAGAAGTGATGATCACACGAGTTGCACCTAGACTAAGTGCCATGAGACGAGTTGCACTGAGTGAGGATGCCATAGTGGCCAATTTTCGATGAGCGAGTGAACCCATGTGAGGTAAGGTGCCCAACAATGGCCAACCTATAGGACCAGCAAATTTTGGAGAGTTGAAATGATAGTTTCTCCATGCAAAGCCTCCTGGAACTAACCATAGGTTTAGGAAGAAAGGGACGAGAGAGAAGGAAGAGATGAATAGGAGGAGGAGAGATAAAGGCCATGGAGTTTGGTAGGTGGATACAAAACTTAGGAGGAGTAGGAGAGAGAGGAGGTTGACTACTAGGGATAGGATAAAGGGTTTCATGGTCTTGAAAGGAGACGATGATTCTGTTGATGAGAACTCTTCAAAACAGCTAGCTAATGGAAAAGTCTAGAGATGGATCACTCTTTTACTGACAGGATGCACATGGTGATGATTTGTATATATAGTACATGGAAAGTGATTATGGTTAATCATATGGTTTGTTTGCTAACCCTGGTTAGGGTTCGTCATGCTACTCAAGTAAAATTAAAATAAACCATGGTTAGGAGAATTTATTTATTGAAGCCGTTGCAATGATGACGCAGTGTAACAATGGTTACAAGCATTCTACCAAAATAAAGTGGACCTACAATATAATAAAAAATTTGATATATGTGCTTTGATGGAATGTTTGTAGCTGTTGTTGTATCACGTCATCGTTGCAACGGTTGTAATGAATAATTTCTCTATGGTCAAGGACACTTAGGGTTCACAAGGCATCATATAGAATGAGGTATAATAAGATAACACGTTATTGATTTGAACATTATTCAGTAATTTAATTAATAGAGCGTCAAATCCCTGAACATACATGCCAGTGTTCCCAAAGTCCTACATTTCCTAATCTGTTAGCTGGTGGAGAGGCCAAAGAAAACAATCCATACAAAAAAACATCTAGTACAACAATACATAAACAAGTCTCCAAATCAACCGATACGCATATATTAAAGAGGAGCACAAAATTTTATATATAATCCTTCAAAGTGGTAATTTCAAAATGAGAGGCATATTTGTAAATTATTTGTTTTAAAAGTGATTCGAGGTAAATATTAAATAAACCACACCATTCATTCTCAAAAGTAACTTAGGATTCTATTCTCCAAGTGATGTCATCACAAGGATGCTTCACTGATGACTCGTATCTTCATGATTAAGTATACAAGTTCATAATGAGAGCAATCTCACAATAATTTTTCTACGCATTCTCATGATTAGGTGCAGGAGTTCACGATAAGAGCGTCCTCGCGATAATTTTTCTATGCTTTTCACGATTAGCTACACAAGTTTAGGATGAGCGCGTAGACTCTCAAATAAAAATTACTTCTTTCGTTTCAAATTAAGTATCCTGTTTTGAGAATCGTGACTCACAATCGAAAAACTATTAGTAACTCACATAATATTAAACTAAAACAACACTATCAAGAAACTATTAGTAACTCACATAATATTTGTGTACATGACCAAAGGTAACAATTTGATAAAATGGGTGTGAGAGTCATCCATCACCTAAGGAGGTCAAATTTCTAAATAGTGATTATTGAGACACTTTTGGGTGATGAAAAAGATGTACTAAGAATCATTAAATTCGTGATATCAAATTCTATCTATCATGCATTATTAGTTGCTTCCTCCAAATGGTGGACCCTTCCTCATACAGAATCATAACAATATGACATGGTTGCACCAAATCTTCCTAATTATGGTGAAAGCACATCCGTACACTAATGGTAACATCTGCATTCAACAATGTTGTAATGAATGTTTTTCACTTTAGTTTTAGTGCGTTGTACAGTGCTACACGTTGCAACCTAGTGTCATTTTTAAATGGCAACTTTGCACACCACAATGTCTACAAATGTCTTAGTCAATTCATACATATTGCTTTGCCAGCTCCAATATTCGTTCCTTCTACAATGGTTATAAATTTGAGTTTGAAAGTAATCATCATCATCATCATCATCATCATCATCATCATCATCATCATAATAATAATAGTCTTACCTTTTACTCATGTCACATATATGTTTAATAACTTTATCTGATGTTATTTTTAGTCACTCTTTAAATCTGTTTAATAACTTTTATTCATGTCACATATATATTTAATAACTTCATTTGATGTTATTTTTAGTCGCTCTCTAAATTTGTTTAATAACTTTTTCTAATACATACAAATCATCTAAATTTATTCTTTTTTATTTTTTTTCGATAATACTTGCCACGCATAATTCAACGTCAAAAGTTAGTTCTCTGATCTCTTTCAAAATCTCACTTTGCAAACTTATATAGCTACAGATTTTATCAATTGTCCTAAACTTTGTGAACAGTTTATCTCAATACAGTTGCAACCTCTCTCTTTATGGTTATACTCAAAGCTAATGCTTTGTTTTATTGGAGGGACGAAAAAAATGGATGGAAGAGAAATGGAAAGGGTTGAATGAGACATCCCTAGGGAAGGGAATGTATTTTTCTCAATTTTTGTTTGGTTGAATGAAATAGATAGTAGAAAGAACGGATTTGGTGACACCATTTTTTTTGTTTGATTGGAAGGAAAGAAAATAGAGTTTTATATTGCTTTTACTAATATACCCTAATTATATAAAATTATAAAAATTATATATCTATTTCAAATTATGCAACAACAAGGTTAAAAATGAAAATTAAAAACTTTTTGGTTATTATCATGCTTTCTCTCTCCTCTTTCCATTTTAGACGGATAGAAATTACAAAGGAATGCGGGATGTTTTATCCTTCCATGCTTCCTCCCTCTTTTTTCCCTTTTCTTCAACCAAACACTAAAAACTTATTTTATACCTCCTCTCATCCATCGCTAGCTCCTCAATCCTTAATTCCCTCCAACCAAACCTAGCATAAAGAATGACCAGCATATGTTATATCCATTATATCATAAGCTCAAGAAAGTAATTCGAATTTGGAGTTGTAGATCAGTTCACTTTTTGAAAAATATGGTCTTACTTGGTTTGTAACTCTGAGAACAGTTTTCTGTTCTCAGAAAACTGTACCAAAACTTTGCTTGGTTCAGTTTTCTGAAAACTCAGTTATGAAAAGACTTGTTTTCAAATAATTGTCTTTTATTATTCTCTGAAAACTGTTTTCTGTTATCTCAATTCTTGAGAATTGTTTTCAAAGTTACAAACCAAGCAAGTCTTAAAATTTTATTTTATTTTTCATTCCAACATGATGTGTAAATGGAGCAAACACTAGATAATACACTATTAACATGAAGCTTGAATTCATGTTTTGCCTCATACTTTGTTTGTGGTATTCTACACACCAAGAATGTCCAAGATGGTTCTAGACTTGGAAACAATAAAGTTACATGGGCACTCTTGGCTGTTAACATAAAGCTGATATCAGAGACATTGGTTGGATAGTATGTAACATAGCAGCTGCTCTTTGGGTCTCTCTCTTTGCTTTGCAGTACCAACTAGTCTAGTCTAGTAGTTTCCTTACTTCAATGGTAGTTGTGCTCTGTATAGTTGTGCTTGCTCTGTTCATGGCCTCGGCCTATTTGTTGTTTGTTTTTCCCTCATTGAGGGCGCCATGTACTTTCTCTTTTTTCTTCAATACAAGCTTACCCTTAACTAAAAAAAAAAACAAAAAAAAATTGTTCATATTTGAGTACTATAATTAACAAACATCCTGTTATTCAAGCTCATCTTCCGCATAAATATGGCAGCCTAGCTATAGACATTACATACATCCATGTATGAAGATATATATATTTTTTTATAACTATTTATTTACCTTAGCAAGAAATTTATATACTTACTTTGCCTCGTAAAAACTTGAACCTTTTAACTTTTTTCTTTAATTTTTTTCTTTGAAAAATAAAAAAGTATCATTAGGCCACAATCCCTTCAAGATAGAAGAAATAGATGCCCTTTGCATCAATCCAAGATATGATAGTGTGTTACATACAATTTACTTAAAAGGAATCTATAATCCCCATATCAGTCTTTGTTTTTTTCTAAAATTTAACAAGCCTCCAAGATATGATAGTGTGTTACATACAATTTACTTAAAAGGAATCTATAATCCCCATATCAGTGTTTGTTTTTTTCTAAAATTTAACAAGCCTCCATTAATCTGCACAACATAAAGTATAAACCAGTGGAATTATTTTAATTACATGGAATATCCAGATATTGTGTGTGTGTGTGTGTGTGTAGAGAGAGAGAGAGAGATGCCAAAAAAAAAACAGAAGGATATCCAGAAATGAAAACATCCAATAAAACATCCATTTTAATAGTACTATGCTGCCCACATTCAAAAGCATCCAATAAAATCGGAGCCTATGTTTAATGCTAAATAAATAATACATCTTCATAAAGAAATCAAAAATAAACGCGTGGACTTCTTACCTCCATAAAATCTGAATAGGTCTCTCTTTAATATTTGATTATGAGGACCCTAACTTTAACAAAAGCATGGCTTTAAATTACTTCATAAAAAAAAAAACCAAAAAAAAAAACTCTCCACTACCAAACTTCATGAGCAGCCTAACAGCCATTGGACGAGATAGAGAAATCACATAATGCCCTGTTTAAAAAACATAAAGCTTAGCCCTAAACCACCAATAATGACTCTGCTAAAGCTAAAAAAGTAACTAATCTTTACGGCCGAGTATTACTTTAAACACAGATTCTTCTGGGAGCTTGGAGAACCATATGCTAAACATTATCATACATTTTTTTTTCAAAACTTCCACGGATCCCATGTCCTTCCTTAATAGAAAAAATTAAATGTCACTATACAAACAAAATATAGTGAGATTTTTTTGCCACTAATAGCAAAGCTTAACCTACGAATCTGCCAGGTTAACCACCACTACATACCAATAAGAGAAAGTGAACTAGTGGGGCAACAGCACCAACACAATCCAAACCCTAAAGAATATATATGTTGTACACACGCATGCACACACATCACCTATCACAATTTAGGCGAGTTTGAAATTCAGCCACTCAACTGCAACCTACCACAAACAAAATATTATACATATCTCTCTCACACAGACATAGACACACACCACCTATCATAAATTAGACAAACAAGAAATAAAGATAAATGATGAATTCATTAATTAATACTGCCACACCGACACGAACCAGGCCAACATTGTATGCCAGATTCCCAGTCTGAAGTACAAACCTCACTTCAGCCTACCACAAACAAAATATTATACATATTATACATATCTCTCTCACACACACAGACACACCACTTATCATAAATTAGGCAAATTTGAAATTTAGCCTCACCTATCGGACATAGTTTAGGCAAATTTGAAATTTAGCCTCACCTAAAATTTGAAATTTAGCCACCCAACT